AGCACCGCAAGATCACATTCTTCGGCATTCCCGCGACTACGTCCAGTGACCATAAGCTCACTGCCGAGGCAAAGAAGCGGTTCAAGCACAATGTCAGGGGGGCCCCTTGTTGGTGCTGTGAGATTTGACCTTTCAATTGAGAGATTGGTTGCCAAACTCAATGGAAAGGAGTCGACTGTTACTGTCGGTGAATTCTTCAAGGCAAATGGGGATTTCCGCCGATACTATGCGTCGTTGTTCCTGAATTGCCGAGACAAACCATTGTCGAGTTATGTCTTCTATTCCGAGCATTGCAGGAAGGCATACCTCGAAGCCCTGTCATTGCAGGAGGTGTCTCCGGCTCAGACGGATCCAAATCAGACGCGTAATAATTGGCCCGAGTTTACCGCGTTGCATAACGAATACATTGAGATGTTGAGAAGATTTCGGATGAGGTATGAACTTGGCACCGAGGCCAAAGCATTGGAGGTCTTTCGTGCGAAAATGGTTGCTGGGCTAAGTGAAAAGGTCACCCGAGTCTTTCTCATGAATCCCGAGGAGCTTTCGAAGTGGCTGAGAAAGACCGCATTCACGTTTTGTTACGAAGTTCCTGAGTCTTTGGAAGGATTTGAAGCTGAGATCAAAACCGTGCTGATGGAAGTTGACGAGCGGACCGAGGACAAATGGGACGAGTTGGGTCCTGTTGGAACTGTCAACTTAACTGCGGCAAAGCGATTAGGGCCCAACTTGGGCGGAGAGGACATTACCGTGTCTCTGCCGGTGGCCGAGGAAGAGCTTAACCGCGAGCGCAAGAGTGCAGAGAGGTCTGTGACCCTTTCCGAGAAGTCTGCATCAATTAGGGCTGCTGAGAAGGCAAAGAAGGAGCAGGCCACGAAGAAACCCAAGTTCGAGTTTCCAAAGGTTCCCGCGCAGAAGGAGACGCCTGCTCGGTCTACCCGCGTGGATGCCTCAGTTGCCCGTGCGCCCGGGAAGTCATTGCCTGTTGTACCTCCAACGGACGTTGAAATGGCGGAAGCCGTCGAAGCTCGAATTCCTGATGAAGAGGAAGACATGCAGGAAGACGCCAATACCGAGGCATCAGCACCGTCCATTACCTCTACCGTGAAATCCGAAGAAATTGTTATGGGTCGTGCTCTCGAGAGAAGAAAGCTTGGTGATAGGTTCTTCCGTGCAAGTGTCGTTAGTTCGCAGGTTTCGTCAACACTGGATTCGCAGGCGGAGGAGCAGTTGCGCCGGGAAGAGATTGGTCGCAACCCAGACGCTGCATCGTCGGGATACAGACGACATCCTGAACCTGCCCAGGAAGTCCGTGGTCCTCAGAGACGAGTTCTGCCTCCCCCACCACCACCTCCGGGAGGAGTGGAGAGAGACCGATCTGGCGATCCTGGATACACTGCGAAATACAGAGACGACACTGGCAGGATGAGACTGGAGCGACGTGAAGCTTTGTGGACCTACTTGCGCCACCACCCGTGCCGGATGCGCCGGAGCCACCCGAGTACGCTGTCTGGGTCGAACAGCAGAGAAGAGGCAGAGAGAAAGGCAGAAAGGGTGAAGGACGTGGCAAAGAGGGTGGAAAGGGCAAGAAAGGACGAGGCGATGGAGGCAAAGGAGGAGATGGGCGAGACCGAACCCGGACACCTCCGACACGCTGAGCGGCTGCTGCGCCATGGTGCCGAGTGCGCTGAGCAATGGACGCCTCCGCGGAGCCATGGGCTGACCGGATGATTCCTTTTGCCGCCTCCAGAAGTGGAACTGAGAGAGAGTGAGGATTGTAAAAACCCGCGTATTGTCCGTGTCAACCGTGTTCTTGCCGTGTTCCTTACCGTGTCCGTTTTTCACTAGTGTCGTGATCAGGGCGACAAGCTTAGGTATAGTACCGTGTCAGCCTTTACGTGCCTACATCTGACTCTCTCGGATAGTGATGGATCCCCTTATACGACCTTCTAAGTTTGGCTGGGTGTCTTTCCACGCTATTCCGAGACACATGGGCGAAGCCTGCGGTATCATGACCTTTTAATTCCGCTCCTATCTTGACTCGCGTCGAGGGGGGTGTGAACTGTCATGTATACCTTGCCTTGTGCTGAGTCTTATGTAGGTATCTGCTGCCACCTTTCTTACCTCAAGCACCGCGTAGTGCTGCTACTTAGTAGACAGCCAGCTGTAGCGCCCACATAGGAAAAGGTCTTCCGTGTGATTGTGCTACTTCTTTGGTGCACGGTTAGGTTCTGCTTCTGGGGTTGCTTTGCCTAGCTTGTTACCGCGTTTGTACTTGTCCACCCAGCATAGCCGCTGTTGCTTTGTGACTTGGGATTATCCTGTGTCAATTCACAGTTTGTATTGCATTCACGGTTAGGGCGTGCCATGCATGTTTCAGCAGAGGTTTATTTAAATGTTGAAAACGAATCAGAACTTTTTTTGAGAACGTTATGCAAAGGCTGCATGCTTCTGCAGGTGTTTCGGGTAGGATCATTGTGCCGCCCCAGAAACCTCAGCTGTTGTAATTGAGTGGCGTGCTTCATTTCAAGACGGTTTTCTTCAATGCAAGTTTAATTGGGGGTCTGTGTAGCCGTGCTGCTCTCAAGAAATGGGTTGATTCTAAGGGTATTTGGAGTATCTTGACGTAACGTTTGATGACATCCCGCATGCATTCATCTTCGAGAAAATTCCCTGCCTACAACGTATGTTTGTTGTTTCTGCGTCCGAGAAAGGGGGCAGGTGATGCAGGGGTGTGTTTGATTTGCATATTCATGTCATGCTGTTGATGTAAACGTGCGCAATTTACCATCAGATGACTGCGCGGATGTCTCGGGAGATGGAAATAAAAAGTTCCTTGATTGCAAGCACGAGACAAGTGAGTTCAAGTAACCCGAATCTGTTGCAAAGAAAGGCAGCGCCACAAGATCACATCTAAGACAAATGGCAACCTGCGTCTTATGTGAGGTGAAAAGCAAGCTCGGGAGCTAATTAAATTGAGCTTATTGTGCAGCGATTGCGGCTTGTTCAAGCAGAAAAGTCATGCCTCATGTCGCACGTATGCAAAAAAGAATCGTTCATGAATTCTCCCGAGATTCTACCCAGTAGAGTTTTGGGAAATTGCGTTCGGTTGCTCCATGGCTCAAACTCGCATTGAGGATTCCACGTCAGTGTGAACACATTCCATGCAATCACAGGTTGAATAAAGTTTCGGTTGGGCTGAATCCGCCCAGTATGGGCTAACGTTCCCCAAGTTGAGCCATGAACAGCCAGAATAGGTGTTTCTCCCCTCCAGCTCTTGGATTGTCTCGCGGTGCTCGTTTGCCGTTGGCTTTTGCAGAGTCACCATGAGGCGGACGTGGCGTGTTGACGGGTCATGCTGAATTGATTTAATGCGTGCAGTGGAGGCGCGGAGGCATCATGTGCGAGGGGATTGTGAAGAAAAGCATCTCGGCTTCAATTTCAACGAGCACCTAAATCCTTTATTTGAGAGCGGCTCATGGTTCTACGATGTTCTGAGGCGAGCTGGTGCTTTGGAACGGCCAGCCGAGCCAGGTGGAGAGCTGTGCCATCTGCCGCGAGGACCAGTTTTTCCTTTCTCTGATTTTCAAAGACTTGGTTTGTAAGGTATTCTGGTTTCTTTGTGCTGAAGACAGGCTTTTCAAGTGGGTGTGGACATCTGCCGCGTGTTGGATTGCACGCATGTCTTCCACGCCAAGTGCATCGACATGCACCTTGGCCTTTGCAGGTTTTGCAAGTGTGCCTGCTATACAACTTTGTTGCACCGAAGGTGGTTCGTGAAGGCATCTTCGTGCCCTCTCTGCAAGAATGACCTCAAGCTGTGTGGCAGGCACAGACCGCGTAAGTACCTTTGATTGGACAGTGCTGTGCAGATAGTTTGAAACCGTGGAAGGAACAGCGCCTCTCAGCGCTCTTTGGGCAGGTGGGAAAGTTGTTGAAGTTTCCCAACTTCCCAACTTCCCAAGTTCCGCAGAAGCTCTCTGACTCTTTCTGTATCTTTGCCCTGGACCGAAAGTTTGTCCTGTAGGCTGCCTGACTTGGGGTTATATTAGGGTTATACTGGGGGTTATACCGGGGTTATACTATGGTTATAGCGGGGTTATATTAAGGTTATATTGGGGTTATACTAGGGTTATATTAGGGTTATATTAGGGTTATATTGCTAGAGTGTGCTCGCTCCAATAGAAGTGAAGTCGATGGCCCAGGTCTTCGCACACCTCATCCAACATGTCTCTGGGCTCTGCTTCTTTGCGATCTGGGCAGATCCTAGTTGGTCACTCCAATTCCGTGACAGCCTCAGTGCAACAATAGTGACATGTGCAGTCTCCATTTTCTTTTCCACTAGCCCTACTCTAACATCCCAACATAACCCCCAAAATGCTATAGTAGTTTCCATTTTCTTTTCCATTATCCCTTATTTAACCCTCAATATATTCCCTATTATAATATAGTAGTTTCCGTTTTCTTTTCCATAATTCCCATTACGAGCTGCGCAACCCACGGGGCAAGGATCCAGCCCTCCTTCGGGCTCTACATCCGGAGGGTCTTGGCCTACTGCGGCGCAGTTCCCCACCACCGACTCCGGACCTTGAAGTTACGAGCTGGCTACTACTGGGTTGCTGTTAAGGAACTTAAATTAAGTTACCATATGGGTATATATTGTGAATAATAGGGTTCCGCCAATATAGTAACTTAATTTACGTTCCTTAACAGCAACCCAGAATACCGCCAATACCATTACAACCCAGTAGAATGCCATAGGACACTGTCATAGTGTAGGGTACTAACTGTTATCATAGATATTACTATTACTATTACGAATAGTCTTATTCCTAATATGATCATGCCTAATATTCGTATTAATATTATGATGATACTTTCAGGATTTCCTTGTGTTCAGCTTTGCAGGACCGCCATGCTGGCAGCGCGCCGTCCTTGGCGATTACGTCGGACAGGCGCGTTGCGTTGAGTCCCCTTCCTTACTAGCCTTCAGGACAATCTTTTCATTTCAGGATATCATAACATCCTGTCATAGTATGATGTCCTAGAAGGGTATTATAGTTCCTATACTACTAGAATACTCTACAAGGGTCCAAACTTTTCTCATATCATGCTGCCCTACGGCTTTATATAGCCCTTTAACTTTGGGGGCCCTAAACCCTGAATAATAGTTTCCATTTTCTTTTCCATTATCACAATATTAATATAAACCCCTTTTGGGGGTTGGGAACCCTAAACCCTAAACCCTTTTTGGGGGTTGGGAAGGTCGATGGAGGTGATCTCCATTTCCCGATCGGAGCGCTCCATTGCTCTCCTCTCGGAGAGCTCGTCAGGCAAGGATGAGGGTTCACGGAAGTTTAGGGTTTAGGGTTTTGGGTTTAGCGTTTAGGGTGTGGCTTGCTGTGACATCCACCATCTTCCAGCATTCCTTTAGGGTTTAGGGTTTAGGCCCTCCCCCCCCCAAAAAAAAGTAAAAGACATACATAGGGTTGAGGGTTAAGAGTGTAGAGTTGAGGATCTGCCTATCATCTGTCATTCTTCTTAAGCCCTAAACCATAAACCTGAACCGTGCCGAAGGTCTACTTCCTGCAGTGCAAGAAGGGTCTGAGGAGACCAGGATGGCATTGGAAGGCCAGTTACACGGATGAAAACTGCCCTGTCGTCATGCAGGATTTGTAAGACTAGCAGACAGGCACATACTCATGAACATTCATTTTGTCATTCTTGCTATTATTACTATTCTTATCAGTAATATGAGTATCATCATTATTGTTCTTATTGTCGTTATTATTATTGCTATTATCATTACTTACTACCACTATTAGTATGATTACTATTGTATTTATTCCCGAGTTGAAGTTCGACACGTTGAGCTGCGCCTCAATGCAGCAGGAACCTCTACGCCGCCATCCCCGCCCCACGACGGTTATGAGACCTCGCACGGGAGCGAGTGGGTATGGGGAAGGTTACTTGCTACAAACCCCAAAACTCTTATCCCTGAACCCCAAACACTAAACCCTAAGCCCTAAACCCAAAACACTAAACCCTTAACCCTAAACCTCAAACACTAAACCCAAAACCCAAAACATTAAACCCTAAACCCTAAACCCCAAACCCAAAACCCAAAACCCTAAGCCCTAAACCGCGTGAGGAGTCGAATCTTGCAGTTTCAGCTGCCAGAGGGTGGCTCGGCTGCTTCCACAGCGAGAGGGCCGCCTCTTGGCTCAAAAATTATTGGTTTAGGGCTTGGGGTTTCGGGTTTCGGGTTTAGGGTTTAGGGTTTTGGGGTTTAGGGTTTTGGGGTTTAGGGTTTTGGGGTTTAGGGTATAGGGTTTGGGGACTATTCATTCTTGATATTAGTTCTCATTGTTATTCTTACTACTATTTTTGCTTATTATTCTTTATAGTATTCTTGAGATTACTAAGTATTACTCCTATATACTAATGCGTAGAGATGTGAGAGGAGATGGGGGACAGCTGCCTTGCTGTCACGGCGTGTGGATCAGGCAGCTAAGCCAAAGGAAGGCCAATATGGGGGTCTCCCAAGATTAGGGGTACCTTTTTGGGGGTCCCTATGATAAGGATTGTAATATTTTGGGCTCTCTTTTGGGGTCCCCCTGTTTTGGGAAACTACCATATGGGACTTTTCGGATTGACACACCCTCGTCACCAAACATTTACCAGCCTTTCAGTGAAGACGCAGTTGCGCTGGAACAGTCAGATGAGTGTTCGAGTGCAGGGAGCAAAGGAAGGAAAAGGAGAGGGTCCGTTGCAGGTGGAATCGTCTGGCAGACACATGTGGCGAAATGCCAGCACGTGTGAGCCAACAGCTGTCACATTTGGTGCTGATTCCGGCTGGCTTACCTCTCTGGCTTGGCTTCCGTCTGCCTCCAAACATGTCTTGCTAGGACGTGCTGTGCAGCTGTGCAGTTTTGGACACTAATCTCAGTCGTGTTGAGCGTTTTCGCGGATGAAGCTGAGTAAGACTGGGGTTTCGTCCTGCCCCGCATTGTGGCCAGAAGAGAGATGACGAAGGACACGAGAAGAGTAGGAAGAGTCAGTAGCAGCAAGCCCACTGCACAATCCGCATACTTCATTATTGCCATTGTCATCGTTTCTAGTCGTACTACTATAACCGTTCTTACTATGATTACCATTTTACGATTCTTCCTAATATTATTCTTAGTATTTTCTTCAATTATTATAACTACCAGTACTCATATCCCTGAGGCCTTCTGCTGGAGACCCGGCACTTGAGGACTGTCACGGCACACAACATTGCTTGCATGATGCAATTTGCCTTCATGTATAGTGTATAGGGAGTATACAGGGTGTAGGGTTCAGGGCACACCATTTCTTTCTGGTGATTAGTAGGGAATACAGGAATATATTGTCTAAGGGGCTCCAAATATAGACCCCAAAATGCTGTAATCCTTATTGTGGGGACCCCCCAAAAAGGTACACCTAATTTTGGGAAATCCCCACATAGGGATTATATTGCCTTATTCACTGCTAACCCCCAGTAAGCCATTCTGCAACATGATATGAAGTATACTATAGCATACTATAGTACATTATAGTCTTCTATTGCTATAGTATAGTACAGTATAGTATTTTCTAGTATAATATGGTATACCCAAGTGTAGTACCTCATCGTTGAGGAGCCCAGCCAAGAGGATCTGTCGGAGGCAGATCTGGTGGACTTTGCAGTCCGTCTAGTAATATAGTCTCCCTTGAGTAGATAGAATATAGGATTTAGGGTCTAGGGTTTAGAGTATAGTTCCCCTCAACTAGATAGAATTTTGGATTTTATAGGGGTTATATTGGGATAATGGAAAAGAAAATGGAAACTACTATGTAGGGTTTAGGGTTTAAGGTCTATAGCCCCCCTTTAGTAGATAGAATATTGCTTTGGGTATATTACAATAAGATCCCCATATACCCCATATTCTATCTACTTCAGGGGGACTGTAAATAATAATCGTGGGAACAATATTAGTAATGAGAGTAGTAATGGTAATAGTACTAATACAAGAAATATGTCATGAGGATAGCAGTAATGGTTGGTCACATTTGGTCACAGGTGCTTCAGAAGCCAACCTGGCTTGCAAACACACAGATCTTGTTGGACGGGCGGCAGGCGCAATGAAGATCCGTTGGCTCATTTGGATAGCTGTGGTTCCCGTTCAAACTGCAAGGTCTCCAACATATCCGATGATGCACCAAGGGCGGGAGTGCGTATGATGACACGTGGTGCTTGTAACCAGATGGCTCGTGCTTGTGCTGTCTTATATGTGATCGACCCTGTCAGGCAGGAGAAGCGGAGGCGGTGCGACCTCCGGTTTTTTCACCACAACGGCTGCAGCAGAGGCACCCCAATGGCCTAAGCAACGGAATGCACATGCGTGCAAAGGTGGATAATTGATTGCAATTCACTTGCATATCCCAGCTGCAAAGACAACAAGCTCACTGATTTCCAATGCAAGCCACGATCAGGATGGAGGTGCACCATTTCTTTGCCCCTCAGCAGCCGGCGGCTGGTCATGCTTGGTCTTTGACGTGCCTCGGAAGTGTTTTAGAAAGAGACCTGGCGCTTGTAGCCTCCTAGCTGTCTGATTGGCTGGCTCAATGTGTCCCGGAACGTCAACAAAGCTTGATCATATTGGGGTTATATGGGGATAATGGAAAATAAAGTGGAAACTACTATCTAGGGTCCCTAAACCCTAAACCCTATAGCCTTGGGATCCCCATAGTCTAGGCAGGCCCACTTGTGTGCCACCAAGGCTCCCGGCATCAGTGTCGCAGCGGCGCCTACAGGTCGAGGCGGGCAATTCTTCCGAGCATAGTGTTCTGTGGTCGAAGTGCCTAGGGTTTAGGGTCTGGAGTATTGTAGGGGTTCCTTCGGGGGATAGTAGGAGTTTAGATTGTTGCTGTGGAAACAGATGTTTGACAATGAGCTTGTTATGTTAGTTGTCATTCTTTTTATCTTGGCTCAGGCGCCGAAGGAGAAGCTTTGTGCTTCTGAGCAGCATTTGAGTTGATGGGGGGCCTTGGACTTCGTCTGGTTTTCGGACTACCGTCATTATTATTGTTTGTCTACTAACCGCATTATTACTATTGCAGTTATTCTTACTAGTGTTATTACCAGTGTTACTACTATTATTGTTGTTACCAGTATTCTTATTCCTGTTGTTGTTGTGGTTGTGGTTGTGGTTGTGGTTGTTGTTGTTGTTGTTGTTGTTGTTGTTGTGGTTGTAGTTGTGGTTGTTGTTGTTGTTGTTGTGGTTGTTGTGGTTGTGGTTGTGGTTGTGGTTGTGGTTGTGGTTGTTGTTGTTGTTGTTGTTGTTGTTGTTGTTTGTTTATCATCATTGTTATCGCTACTATTATGTTTACTACTATTGTTACTATCATTTTTATTCTGTTTATTCTTACTTCTACTGTTCCGCAACTTAGGCCATCTCCAGCCCTCCAGTTCCTGTGGCCATGCATCCGTGGCTGGAGGTGTGGTTGTCTTGACAGTTTATCAGCGACTATCAGCAGTTTAGGGTTTAGGGTGTAAGGTTTAGGGTTCAGGGTGTAAGGTTTAGGGTTTAGGTTTCAGGGGTTGGGGTTTCGGGTTTAGTGATCTCCGTATCTTCTGGGTTCAACTCAGCCCAACCAGAGGCAACGTTCCGGCCTCAACGCTGCAGTATTTCCTTGGTAGGAAAACTGAACCTTCTGAGTTGTGAGTTTAAGCAAGATGAACTTTGAGTCAATCCCCCACCCACTAATGGGTACCACAAGGGACTACTGTAGATATTTTTAGGCCCTATTGACTTCATACTGAAGAGCTATTGCAATAGGGGTTGACCTAAGATGAACATAGTTGACTAGCCAGATGAAGCACAAATAGCTGTTTACTGCCAACAGGTTCAACACCTGTGGACAAACGTTTAGAAACTTTGCACAAT